CTTAGCAATCAATTTGGTATAGCTGGGATTCAGGTCGCTGGAGAGCTTATTTACTTAAACGTTTTAGTAAACGATGCAGGAGGTCTTTCTCGTTATTTTCACATCGATTCCACTAGTGCCGAAGTCCTCACGGCGAGTAAAACCGCTTGTGCGCTTGTTATTAAATTAGAGGAATATTTTGATAGTAAATAAGAATTTGTTAATGCGAGCATTAGATCAAGCTAGCTCAAACCCTCCCCGAAATGTTCCTAGGAGTCCCACAGTTTCTTCACCACGCAGAGAGGAACAGGGTCAAAAAAGATCTAGGGAGGTGGATGATATAAATCCTCCCTCGAATAATGGAGGCGGAAGAATAAAAAAGAAAAATAGTGCATTTTTTTAGAATAATTTTTTATAATTTTTTACTTTTCTTATCGTATTAATAAAGCTGGCCCTGGTGGCCGATTTCGCATACATAATCGTGTTTACTTTTGCATGTGTATTTCGTGAATTTATTCCGCCCTCTCGCAATCTTCCTTAAAGGGAGGAGTAAGTGAACCCTGAGTTGATCACTATATATCCCGCCTTCTCACAATTCTCGCTCGAAGCCAGAGAGTAGGTGAACACTATATCTGAGAAAAAAGTGATCACTTTTTCTTTCTTTTTTCGAACTTGTGAGAAAAAAGGCTCGCGAGAAAAAAAAATATGATCGAGAATTTTTTTGGTAAAGCAATAGAGCGTGAAATTTTTCACGCAGACATTATAATAGTATAGACATCATGTATCACAGGCTAGGTCCCGAACATTTGTATTTATTTTTCGCATGTATTAATAAAAGGATAAATCTATTTGTAACAGGATGTTACGTAACATGTATATTCTATAACTCAACATTTTACTAGGGTAACCCCTGTTGCACTTTTAACAAAAAATGATCCTCTCGCAATTTTGTATTAATCTTGACTCTAACCTAACCCTAAACCTAACTCTAAACTTAGCATTAATACTAAATTTATACATGTTACGTAATATCCTGTTACAAATAGATTTTTTCTTAATAAAAAACGCAATATTTTTTTTATTTTGAATGCTTATACACAGTGTATTAGTTATATAGATCATGTCATCCGAGCTTGAATTATTGAGACAA